GTCGGGCACGCTCAGACGGTAGACAAGATCCTGAATTGGCTGGATCCGTCCACCATCGTTGGCAAGACAGTCTGTTGGGGCCATGGTGGCAGAGATCGCAGTGCTAATGATACGCAGCATGAGTAGGTAAAGGAGAAGTCATGAGCAGATCTCGTAGGCCAGTGGAACGTGTGCCGAAAGGTGTGCAACATCTCCAGGGCCATGCCTGCCTATCGTCGGGATGGAAATGACCATCGGAAGAGGGAGTCCAGGCGACGCGACACATGCTAGGTTGGAAAAGTTAGCCCAGTGCGCGGGAGGGCAGCAGATCAAATGGTAAGAGCAACCGCAACAGCACCCGTGGCTCCCCCCGCGCCTCACGAGGGTCTCCGCCTGCGCTGCACGCGGCTGAAAAGCTGATAGGTAGGTCGCTCGCTCGACAATCGAGTTGTCCGTAAGGACTTTGCCCCCTGCCGCCCGCCCGCTTTCTCGGAGAATGGGGCATGCAAGAGCTATGTTGATTGGGCGGCCTGGGCGCCGTCATGATTCAGCGTCGGAACTCCGAATGGGGGCCACTGGAGATATGAACGTGCCCAACTCCATCAAAAACCTTAAATGTTCGCAGATGTTGGCCTCTTGGGCCCCTCTTGGGGATGCTCTTGGAGCGCTCATGGGCCGTCTCGGAGGCCTCTTGTACCGTCTGGGGGGCCTTTTATGAAGGATTGTGGTCTCGAAAGCGCGAACACTGCGTCCTTTACAAGGGTTTATGATTTCGGGGACGCGAAGAACGAACGCGTGAATTACGAGGGACCGTGGCTTCGGGGACGCAAGCATGGCATACTTTACCAAAGAGTCTTGCCTCGGAGACGCGAGCATCGCTTGACTTATAGGAATTATGGTCTCGGGAGCGCGAACGCAGCGTCATTTGCTAGGTTCTATGGCCTCGGGGATGCGAATGCGGTGTAATTTACAAGGGATTCTGACTTCGGGGGCGCGAGCATGGTGTAATTTACGAGGGGTTATGGCTTCGGGGGCGCGAATCTCTTTTATTTTAACGTGTCCCAGGACCCCCCAGAAGTTCTGAGAACCCCCTTCAGGTGAAGGTAACCAGGGTCCTTTTCGGCTTCCCCCCCTTTCGCGGACTTCTACAATTCACCTTGGGAAGTAGAAAGTGTATGATGATAACCTGGGAGACTTGAGACTGGAACTGGAGCAGGGAGCAGCAAGCCTTACTCCGTGGAGCCTTCTGGCCCCACAAAGGGGGGCCAGCGGATTGCTGTTTCCCTTCTCTCTCTTCATCTTGCGCAGTACCGTAAACGCGCTAACGGTGTTTTAGCTAACGGCGAAGTAGAACATCCAATTGTGGGAAAGCGTGGTTCGTGGCCAAACCGCTTGTAGGAACGCGTGCTTCGTGTTTCCCTACAACTCGCTGAATCGTTTTCGTTCGGTACGTTTGCAGACTCGAAGCGCAGGAAGCGGCCTCCCGTGGTTTCCTGCATTTTGCTCTTCGTGAGCTTTCGTGCATTTTCCTCCTCCTCCTCCTCCTCCTCCTCCAACCGCACCGTCATCCAAGCACGCCGTTGGCGCGGCCTTGGGCAGCAGCGACGGCCACGCCCCCACGGCAGGTCTGCGACGCCGGGTGCGGCACCGGGAACCTCTCCATCCCCCTGGCCTCGCGCGGGGCGCTGGCGACCGCGCGCTCCTGCCTCCCCACTCTGAGTTTCCCCATGAGCGTTGGCTTGGCATCGCTCGGACGTGTGCATTTTTTCTCGGCGAGGACCATCGAGGAGCATCCTTGATCATTTGGCGAAAAAACCACGCACGAAACCGAAAAAAGCACAGGGAATGGACGTCCGAGCGATGGCCAGTTGGGGGGGCGCCACCCCCGCCGACAGCCCCACATCGACCCCCGTCGCGGGCAGCCACCGCGCGCCGAAGGCGCTCCGACCCCCGTCGCGGCGCGACGGCGAGGCGAGGTTGACCCCCGTCGGGGGGGTGCCCCCCCACGCTTATCAAGAAACCCAGAGTACGCTTTGCTGCCTCTGGCTGCAGTGCTGGCTGCTTTGCCGCTCCTGCTTGCTCCCCCCTCCCTCCCCGGCATCCACACACAGGCGGACCCCGCTCACTCAAGATGGCTTGGGCTGCGGTGAGGGCTGGCCAGACAGAGTGGCAGTGAACTCGAACCGCGTTCAACGTTCAGGCAGGCCTGGGGCTGGGATGCATCGTTCCAGAGCGTACTCGAACCGCGTTCTAGGTTCAGGCAGGCCTAGGGCTGGGATACATCTTTCCAGAGCGTTCCAGAGCGCTCTCAGAGCGTTCTGGAGCGCTCTGGAACGGCCGCGGCCCCTGATTCGGGGGCCCCCAAACGGTGCGGTGACCACACCGCGTGTTGAGACAGTCGGGATTCGGGGGCACCGAACGGTTTTGGGACCCAGTTCGTTCTCCGAGGACGTCTCGTGCGACTGGGGCTCCCAGCAGGGTCCCCGGAGCGTGCGGTGACGGACCGCGCGGAGAGGTCTCTTGGGGTTTCGAGCTCACCGCGCGGTCTGTCACCCCCAGCTGATACGTCCTCGGGAGCCGCAGGGTCTCAGTCGGCGGCGCGCCCGGCGGGGAAGCGATGGGGGCGGGGGCCTTCCCAGAAGGCTCGGAGGCGCTCCTGAGCCTTTTGAGAAGTTGCCCAAGAGGAGGAGGAGGAGGAGGGGGAGGGGGAGGGGGAGGAGGAGGAGGAGGAGGAGGAGGAGGAGGAGGAGGAGGAGGAGGAGGAGGAGGAGGAGGAGGAGGAGGAGGAGGAGGCCCGTCCCCGAAGACACAGAAAGCTTCTCAGAAGGCCTGAGGGCTTCTGAGAAGCCCGACCGTCCTGCTGGGAGGAGGCCTTCTCCTTCCCACTGCTCCCCCCCTCGCTCGCCGCCGACTCCGAGGTCCCCGATGTGTCCCCGTTCGATTTCGTCCCGCTCCTGGCCTCGTCGTGCGCGAGCTCGCGGCCGAGGGCAGCGCCGCGCCGAGGCGGCGTCGAGCCGCCGCGAAGTCGGTCCAGCATCCGAGGACGACCGCGCCCTGAGGCGGTGCAGCTGCTCAGAGGGTCTCGATGCGAGGCATGCCAGGGACGGCCTCACTTTCGAGGGCCGAAGGAGTTTCCATCTCTTCCTCGGCGGAAGGCGGCGGAAGGGCGGCGGAGGGTGACGGAAGTGAAGCGAGGCCGCCTCCGCCAGCGGAAGTTGGCGGAAGGCCGGCGGCAGTAAAACATGCGCCACCAAGAGATGGCACCTGGTGTGGGTTTAGGGTTTCCAGAGCCGGCCATGTATACACCACGTCGTTTGGTCGGCCAGGGAGCTGAGGAGTTCGCGAAAGAATTTGGTGTGTAGACGCTCCAGCGTCCCACAGGTTGGGTAGCTGGGGCGTTCATACACCGAGCTCCTTGGCCGACCAAACGACGTGGTGTACATCTCGAGCCCCTCCCAGCTGCGCCGCGTGCCAGGCGGGCAGCGGGGTAGGCGGCACGGTTGTGGGCAACCCCACTGCCGCGATCGCACCCTGCAGTCAAGACGCTGAAATAAGGACCACGTTGTTAGGTGCTTGTTTTGGGGACCCTCCTGGGGACACTTAATGACTAGCTCGACTCGAGTCCGACTCCAGCTCGACTCAACTTCGACTCAGGTTCGACTCAAGTTCGACTCAAGCCGACGGACGTCCCACGCAGCATCGACGCATGCGTGGATTGAGTGGCTCCAGGAAGATTTGGACGTTGCGTAATGGGAGGGCGATAGATGGGGGGGCAGCGAGGGCTGCAGAAAAGGGGCCGTTTCGGGCCCCTGCAGGGGCCCCTTAGGGTCCCAAAGGGGGCCACTGGGGCCCGAAAAGGGCACCTTTTCTGCCCCCCCATTTATCGCCTTCCCCGCCCCAATAAAGCGACGCCAAGGAGGATGAGGAGGAGGAGAAGGAGGAGAAGGAGGAGGAGGAGGAGGAGGACCAGTGTAAACCCAAGAGTCATCAACGATGTTGGAATGAACCCTTCCTCCAAGCTCCCTCTTCATACGCCCCTACAACGGTTGATTCCCATTGAGGAAATTACTTCGTTGGAAGACAACCGTTTGAAGACCTTGAAGCATGCCAAAACATTGTTCTCGGGATTTCCCCGCCACGGATCAACCGGACTGCTACGTCCTGACGATATGGAATCGTGCCAGAACGCCATTTTGGATTTCAACATCGCGAATCAACATAGCTGTTGCGCCCGCATAGTCCTCAATCTTTCCAACACGCAATTTCTGATACGATGATCATGGGAATCCGTGAAACTCTTGCAACATGTTAAAACGAATGTGCGCGGGGCTAAGGCGAGAGCAACATTTTGAAAAGGAACCGCCCTCAATCCGTGACGCTCTTGCAAATTTTGAAACGAATGCGCGAGGGACTAAGGCGAGATCCACATTTCGAAAACCACCCGCCCTTAATCCGTGCAACTCTTGCAAATTTTACAACGGATGTGCGCGGTGTTAAGGCGAGAGTTGTATTTTGAAAACGACCCGCGATCAATCCGTGCAATCCTTGCAAATATTGAGCACAAGTGTGCGCGGCGCTACGGCGAGAGCCACATTGTGAAACCCACCAGCCCTCAATCTGTGAAACTGTTGCCATTTCTTCAGCTTCAAAGTCATAAGTGGTGAGGAAGTCTCAGGCGAAACGCCCGGCCCGCCCTGAATACTGGCCTCGGGGTGCGGCATGGAGAAGTTACTTATCCGTAAGGGCTTCGCCTCCTGCCGCCGACCCCCTCTCTCGGAGAATGGGCCATGGAAGAGCGAAGTCATGAGGCTTTGGCTTCGCCGTGAAGCAGTGTCGGGACTTGTTTGTTTTTCGACCCTGACCCTACGGATCTGCGTCACGGATGCCACCGAATTTCAGAAATGTAGCAAACCCCTTGTGTTTTTGGACCCTGACCCTGCGGATCTGCGCGAGAGGTGCCACCGAATGTCAGAAATGTGGCAAATCCCTTGTGTTTTTGGAAGCTGACTCTGCCGATCTGCGTGAGGGGTACCACCGAATTTCAGAAAAGTGGCGAATCCCGTATGATTTTGGACCCTGACCCCGCCGATCTGCGCGAGGGGTGCCACCGAATGTTAAACTTGTAGCAAATGCCGTGTGTTTTTGGACCCTGACCCCGCCGATCAGCGTGAGGGGTGCCACCGCATTTCAGAAAAGTAGCAAATCCCTTGTGTTTTTGGACCCTGACCCCGCCGATCTGCGTGAGGGGTGCCACCGAATGTCAGAAAAGTGGCAAATCCCTTATGTTTTTGGACCCTGACCCTGCCGATCTGCGTGAGGGGTGTCAGGAAATTTAAGAACGGTGACTGTACCTCGCCTCGCCGCAGGACCACCAGGCCAGCGCCACGTGATGACCCAGCGCCGGCGCTGCCTGGCGCGTCCCTTCATACCCGGACGTATCAAAACGTAGTGCTGTTTTGGCTTTCGCCGTGTTTCGGGCACCCAGAAGGCCGCTGCTCGGCAACACCCCAACATACTTATACTATATGTGCGTCGCCCCCCCAGGGGCGACGCGCGCACCGAGAAATCTTATAGTATATGCGTCGTGGCGGGCGCTTTCTGGCCACACCGCTCGGGAAACGATATACTACAAGACGGGTATACTATATGTTTGGGTCGGACGCGCGCCTCCAAGGAGGACACATAGTATTAGTATGTCTCTGTGCGTCCCAGAAGGCCGCTGCCGAGCTCCGTGGCCGTCGACAGCAGCTCAGGACGGAAAGCCGGCGCCCCCGGAGAGGTGTCGAAGCCTCGGGGGCGGCCTGCGCGACGAAACGATGGCAATGCCGGAAGCGAGGGTCTTCGGAGCTCCCGATGTTTGTGCGCAGGCACTCAGAGGAGGAAAAGGTAGCCATACTGCTACGCTCGCTCCCGTTTTCGCCTGTTTGGGCCTCCTGGGAGGCCCTCGTTGCCACCGCTGGATTCGCCTCGCAATTCTGGTCAGAACTCACCCCGGGACAGGTCCGTGGTGTGGTGGTATCGGTACCTTCTGGCACGCCAGCGCGGGCGTGATCGCGGACCTGGCTCTCTCTCGCGGTTTCAGGCGTGCCTTCCGCCCTTGAAGATCGGGCTTTGCCAAAGGTGCTCCTGTTACAGAGCGTTCCCAGGATTTCCACGGAGGCCTCAGGATCTCCAGGGCGCCCCCTCACGAAGCCCAGAGGGCCCCATGGGCCCCTGGGGGCGGGATCCCCTCCCCGTACTTCCCAAGGCTTGTGCCTGCAGTTGGCTGGCTTTTGCCTGCAGCTGGCTCTCGCGCGCTGTCCTGGACACGGAATTCGAAACGAGGTGGTGACGATGGCGTCCTGCGCTGGGAAGAAAAAGCCCCCCCCCGTGCTTCCCGCGAGAGGCCTCCGGGGCCCACGCACCAAGCAAGTCGAAGGCGCTCGATGTCTGGCGAGCGGGCTCGGAGAGTGTCCGGCGGCGCCCCCCGCACGCCGCGGGCTCCGCTTCTCGCGTCCCGCCCGTGCGTTCCGTGTCAGTTCCCCTCGCTCTGTCCCGCCACGCTGGCCTCTACATCTCCTCGTGCGGGGTCCCCCCTCTCGTGGTTACCTTTAGGAATATTCCGGAATAGTCAAAAGATAGTCTGGGGACGATTTTTCGACAATTGCTGGATTATGTTTGAATAGTTTTTTGACAATCTTCTATTTTTCCTGCAAAATCCGCGTGTAGGAGGACATGCCCGAGCTGAGGTTACCTGCCTGGCTTGTCCAGGAAGCCCTTGTGCAGCTCTGGCACTCGCGGGCAGGTTTTCATGTTCTGACGTTCTTTTCTACCCGGCCAGTCTCCTCGCCTCTTTTCGTGCCAAGTTCGCCCCTGAAGTGTCCCTCCCGTCGCCAGACCGGTGTCGTCTTACCATTCCCGCGCCCGCCGACCCAGACAGTCTGGGAGGCCCAGGCCTCGGATTTGTCAACACGGGGTCTCCGGATGTCTCGACCCCTTCCCCACGGCCTTCTTGTCGTCACGAGTTTTTTTTGGGCGGTCCTGGACCCGAAGCGGGCAGCAGTTCTGACCAACAGGAGCGCAGTTTCTCTGATCTGGGAAAGTGCGGCCCTTCCTGTGGCAGGTGACCGGGAGCGACATCAGCAGTGCGATGGTCGGCGAAGCCGAGAAGCGTGCCAAGGCGGACCCGGGCGGTGCGAGGGAAGCCAAGGCGACATGTGAGAAGGAGGAGGGGGAGGAGGAGGAGGAGGAGGAGGAGGAGGACTAGCACGTAGTTGATGATGAAAGGCTAGGTCCTCGGAGCGCAACAGCTGTGGTGCGTATGTTAGCCCAACGTATAAGGAGGATGATGACGATGATGATGATGATGATGATGATGATGATGAGGAGGAGGAGGAGGAGGAGGAGGAGGAGGAGGAGGAGGAAGAAGAAGAGGAGGAGGAGGAGGAGGGAGGGAGGGAGGGAGGGGGGGGACGGAGGGAGGGAGCGGGGGAGGGGGGGAGGGAGGGAGGGAGGGAGGGAGGAGGAGGAGGAGGAGGAGGAGCAGGAGGAGCAGGAGAAGGAGGAGGAGGACCACAACCAAGAGTCATCAACGATGTTGGAATTTACCCTCCCACCAAGCTCACTCTTCATAGGCCCCCACAACGGGTCACTCCCATTGAGGGAACTGCCTCGTTGGAAGACAACCTTTTGAAGATCCTGAAGCATGCCACAACATTGTTCTCGGGATTTCAACGCCACGTATAAACCTGATTGCTACGTCTCGACGATCCAGAACCGTGCCAGAGCGCCATTTTTGGGACTTCAACACCGCGAATCAACATAACTGTTGCACCCGCTTATTCCTGAATCCTTCCAAAACAATGTCTTGTACGTTGATCATGGGAAATCCGGAAACTCTTGCAAATATCGAAAACGAATGTGCGCGGCGCTCCGCCCTCAATCCGTGAAACCCTTGCAAGTTTGGAACACGAGTGTGTGCGGCGCTACGGCGAGAGCCACAATTTGAAAACCACCCGCCCTCAATCCGTGAAGCCCTTGCAAATGTTTAAAATGAGTGTGCGCGGCGTTGGAAACGTCCCGCCCTCCATCGGTGAACCTGCTGCAACCTTTCAATCTGAATGTCCGTGGCGCCAAGGCGAGATCCGCATTTTGAGAGCCACCCGCACTGTGTCCTTGAACTTGCTGTAAGCTTTCCGGACGAATGTGCGCGGAGCTAAAGCGAGAACCGTATTTTGAAAACCATCCGCCGTCAATGCCGCCTGCTTTCTACGCGACAGCCACGACGAGCCTCAACGAGGAGCTCGCGGCGACCGCTTCCTAGCACCACCCTAGCCTGCAGGTGGTGGCCTACCTGGACGACGTGTTCGATGTTGGCACGCGCAGGCGCTCGCCGCGGTCCTCTCTCGCGCACCGGCCCGCCTTCCCCCTGCCCCCGACGCGGCAGGACCTCCTCCTGGGTGACGAGCACATGCGGCCAGCGCTCGCCCTCTAGCTGCGCCTGCCGCTGCCAGAGCGGAACCAGCCCTGCCGTCTTGCGGCGGAGGCGCGGCGGCCTGATCTGCGGGTGTGACCTGCGCGCGAACTCTGGCCACGCGGTGGCCTGCCTTTCGGGCGGGTTGGCCATCGACAACACGGCGTGCGTGACTGGCTGGCAGGCTGGCTGGCCGAGCGAGGCGCTGCTGGCATGGACATCCAGCAAGTCGCGCGCGTGGTGCGGGGCCTGCCGGGACGGTAGCTTGGAAGCCGCGCGCCTGGACGTGACATACGTCGACCCTGTCGCTGAGCGGCAGGACGTGGACGTCGCGGTCATCGATGCCGCGCTCGGGTCCGGCACGGTGCTGGCCGCAGCCGCGCGACCCAGGAAAGCGCCGCGGCCGCGGCAGTCGGGGAACGCAAACACAGGCGCTACCCAGAGCTAGCGTTACGCGCCTTGGCGGTAGAAGCGTTGGGCCGGGCTGGGACGGAGGCGCAGGCCCTGCTATGCACCTGGTTGGCTGGGGACCTGCAGGTCCTGGCGGCCGCGCGGAAGAGTTTCCAAGCCGCGCTGCAGCGCGGGGCAGCGCGGAGGCGTGGCGCACGGCCGCGCTGCCGCGGAGCGCCGCGGCGCGGCGGCTGCCGGCCGCTGATCCCTGCGCGCCGCCTGCGTGATGGCACGGGTGAGCGTTGCGAGGGGGGCGCTTGCGACCCGTGCCTCCTCTCCCTTCTCGCTCTCTCCTCCCCCTTTCCTTTCTCGCTCGTTGCCGCGCCTGCCAGCGGGGTCGAGGAGCTCACACCCCGCGCCCCGCGGCCGCGCGCCTGGCGCCTTCGTCTGCCGGTTCTCTCTCCTGCCCGCCCCGCCGCCTCGCTCCCCACCCCTGTAAGGGCCGACGCGTCCCAGGCCCGCTTCAAACTGAACTGGTGCGGACGCTGGCTCGGGCACGCGGTGGCGGATGTGGCACGAGCGCCGTGGCGCCAGCCGCCTCTGCCCGAACCAGACCCCGTAGGCCCGCTTCAAGAGGAGACCAGCCATGGACTGCCGAGCAGGATGGCCTACGTGTGTGCCGCCCCCGTGGAGCCGCCAGGCCCGCCATGGCCGCGGGCGGCGAGGAGGAGGGGGAGGAGGAGGAGGAGGAGGAGGAGGAGGAGGAGGAGGGGGAGGAGGAGGAGGAGGACGAGGAGGAGGAGGAGGAGGCGGAGGCAGAGGCGGAGGCGTTGGAGGAGGAGGAACAGGGGGAGGAGGACGAGGAGGAGGACGAGGAGAAGGTGGAGGTGGTCGTGGTGGTGGCGGTGGTGGAGGAGGAGGAGGGGGATGATGCTGCTGATGATGATGCTGATGATGATAGTGATGATGCTGTTGTTGATGATGGTGATGCTGCTGTTGATGATGGTGCTGCTGTTGTTGATGATGCTGTTGATGATGATGACGATGATGGTGACGATGATGCTTCTGATGATGATGACGACGATGGTGATGATGATGTGGATGATGATGATGACGAGGATGATGGTGATGATGATACTGATGATGGTGCTGATGACGAGGATGGTAACGTTGATGTTG